AGAAATAATTATTAGATCTGCAGCTGATTTTGTACTTACAAAGAAATGAACAGTTTCTAATTTGTGTGGAAGTTTCATTTCAACGGAGAGAGACATGATATCGACCAAACATCCAGAAAAACTCCCTCCCATCTGTTACAACGTAGTGTGGTTCCTCCACCACACAACGACTTGCACGGAGCTCCGGACCGAGGTCCATTGATGGTCACTATATTTTTTTCCATTTCAGAATAATGGCACCAACAGTTGTCCCCTTCTCACCGAGGGTCTTACTGATGATTTTGTAGCCCATCCCAGCCTTGTGCAGGTCTACAGCCTTGTCCCTGACCTCCTTTGATGGCTTTTTGGTCTTGTCCTTGGTGTTGGAGAGGAAAGAAATTGAATCTGTGGACAGGTCTGCTTTATGTACAGTGAGAGTGGAGATCAGGAGTATCTGTAATTGATTTATTGGCCAGTTGTAATCTGTCAATCTGCAGAAGCCAAAATTCTGGGAAGTAGTAGGTCATGTTTTGTTGGTGGACAAAATATTTATTTCAATCAGAGAAATGCAAATCAGTTTAAATCTTTTGTGCATTTTCGTCTCTCGCCCATTAAAATAAAACTCCCATAAACGTCTGACCTGTTCGTTTCTTAGTGAGCAAACGTACAAATTCAGCAGAGGATCAAATCATTTTTTGATCCTTCACTGTGCAAAGTACTGCTGTGATGATCGTGCATTCACAAGATGAATGATCTTTGGCAGCATTACTTTTACTTCCTGTCTCGTTGCTCTCAGCTTATTTGCAGCACTGGTGTTATAGTTATAGTTTTATATTGTAATTGCTCTTCATGGGTCTCTATGACCTGTTCCTCAGATAATGTGTGTGGAGGAGCTCAGTTGATCCATTTGGTTTAGAAGAGTTTGCCGTACGTTATTATAGAAATCACTGTTATTTGATAAATAAAAAATAATCAAACTAATTTTTATGAAGCTTTGAATTATTTGTCATTTCGTGATTGGTCATAGATTGAAAGGGGGCACTGCTCCAGCAGGTTGTCTGTGTCTGCCAGTTGTCAGGTTTTTTTTTAGTTACGTTGTTGTCTGATTTTGAGCCCGAGGAAATCCTTAAGCATCGGCTTGTGCTCTGTGGAATGTTTTTTTTTTATTGGCAATCCTGACAGTTGTTTGAAGTCTTTGTCACTCACAAACATTACATACTCGCGGGAGTTTCTTCTGGATCTTCAGTGGAATCGCCCGTCTCTGGATTCTTTTCACCCTTCAGTGTTTAACAGCCCTGGATTATCCAGTAATCACAGGAGCACTTTAGATTTTAATAAAGTCAAAATAAGGAAGTGGTGTAAGAAGGGAGGTCTACACAGCGATTGAGAAAGCGAATACGATACAGTCGTTTTCCTTTTGCCATCAATAATCCTGGCTAATGTGCAGTCTCTGAGGAGTAAACTGGATGAACTGCATTTGAATGTCATGCATTTACGTGTCCACAGGGATACATGTCTAATAGTATTCACAGAGACTTTGCTCAGGGATTCTGACCCTAATTCTCTGGAATTAAATGGCTTCGGGTTTCCCATACGTTTGGATCGGGACCCCGGAGTTACCCAGAAATCTCACGGAGGAGGAGTGTGTTTATATATTAATCAGAAATGGTGTAAAAACGTGACCGTTCGTAGACAAGTGTGTCTGCCTGACATTGAGCTCCTCTCTGTGTCTTTGAGGCCGTTTTATCTGCCGAGGGAATTCCCACAGATCAATGTCACCGTTTACATAAAGCTTTGCCTTATGAAAGAAAGGGTGGAAAATCTTTTTGAAACAATTATGACTAATAAAAGTATTAAATTTCTTATACCACCATCTGGATGGGGCCAAAGCTCATGCTCGGCTCTTATTTATCGATTGTTCTTCAGCTTTTAATACTATCCAGCCACACCTCTTAGCCGATAAATTTCTTAATCAATTTAAACTTGATTTTAATCGCGTTAGTTTGATTTTAGACTTTTTAAATTTCTCTACTGGTTCACCACAAGGTTGTTGTCTCCCTCCTCTACTACTTGGTATGGTAATTTGTCTTTGACCAATAAGACTAGACTTAGTAACCTGGTTAAAGTGGCTGGTCAGATTTCAGGGAGGTCTAAGGTCCAGCTTGTGGACTTTTATAACAGGCAGGTGCTGTGGAAGACAACCTCTGTTGTATTATGTTCAGACCGTCCTCTGAGCATTACACGATAGTTGACATACTGCAAATCAATTTCCCACTGGGGACAATAAAGTTACCATTGACCATGGGTGTTCCTACGCTGGAGATGTCGTGAATATTTGAATGAAGATGAGTGCAATAGCTTTGAATGACACTGTGTTCTGTCATTATTTGTTCACATATTGAAATATAGTCATTCAATTATTTGGAGCAACATTTTGAAATGTAGGACAAATGTCTCAGAGTTTAGTGTTTGAATGTGTCTCATATTAAAAAAATCAGTCTCTCTAACATCTAAATGGTTCTTTTCTCCCTTCCTGTGATTTAAGAAAAACCCTCACTTTCGCGTCCTCCTGAGACCCCGCCCATTCATTTATGTTTCATTTATGTAGTGGACACACACACAAAAGTTAAACTGACAGATGCTTTTTTTCATGGTATTGCACTGATCACTGCTTTTTTCATTATTTCAGGGTGACCACTGGCCTGAACTACCTCTGATCAGCTTTTCTGGAACTGAAAACTCGATGTTTCCCCTCAGCTCAGAGTTTGGGGTCAAACAAAGGCCCTGAGCTCACAGTCACCTCTCATACTAAAGTGTAGAAGATGAATAATTGTGTGGAAAATGAGAAGGACGGCGCCGACTCTTCACAATGTAACAGTAAGCAGTCCAAAGCAGATCCACTGGCCTTCAGTAATGAACCCAGAGCCTTGGACACAAAGTAAGAGAACTGCCACTGACTTATTTTTAATCTCTTTATCCCAGAGATGCCATATTATATATACAACAGTGTAAATTAAGTAGATCCTGTTTCTGCTTTAAACTGTAGTGTAACTTTCTTAAGATGGATTCTGGAGAGAGTATGATAAGCTGGAAATATGGAGTGTATTTCTGTGTTTCAGATATTTGCTGCAAATGATTTCTAGTTGAGAGAGAGAAGAATTAACGTGGGAGATTATCCTGCCTGATTCTTAATTTGTGGTTGTTGTTTTTTTAAAAAGAAAAAAGAAGATGAAAAGAAGAAAATAATGTTATTATCACAAACATCATATGAAAGACCCACATGATCAATAGTGTGTCTCACTGTGAGACTGTGGAACTGTGGCTACCAAAACTAGTGACTTGGGTCATGGAATGTCACCTCTCTGATGGGGAAGGAGCATGAGTTAGTGCATGAGGTTGAGATATATTGACTAGATATAGTGGGGCTCACCTCAATGCATGGCTTGGGCTCTGGAGTCAAACTCCTGGTGAGGGGCTGGACTCTGTCTCAGTCTGAAGTTGTGCCCTTGGTGAGAGGCAGCGGGCTGGGATGCGTGTCCTAGTATCCCCTCAGCTTGCTGCCTGCATGTTGCGGTTTCTCCTGGTGGACGAGAGGGTTTGATCTCTGCAACTTTGGGTTAGGTCAGGGGTCGGCAACCTTTTACACCCAAAGAGCCATTTGGACCCAGTTTCCATACAAAAGAAAACTCTGGGAGCCGCAAATACTTTTTGACATCTAAAATGAAGATAACACTGTATATATTGTTTTTTAACTTTATGCTTTGTGTGAACAACTAAGGTGTGTTGCTTATGAAATCCATGAAGTGCTACAGAGAAAATTACATTTTATTTATGTAATTAACATATTTTGAACTCTTAAAGAAATATAACCAAAGGAAAGACGCCCAGCTGAACTTAAATGACCCAGCAAACAAAAACTATTGTGAGCCACCACCCTCATATCTCCTTTGGGCTTTTGGAGCCTCCACCTGACTTTAAAAAAATTAACTGGAAAAAAAAAAGCACCATGCTGCTAAAAAATGAAAAATAGATATTTGCAAAATTCTGCCTAAATATGTATTTACCTGGTTATTGTGTGTGGCGGGGCGTGGTCTGCAGCGCTGCTGCAGGGGAGGTGGACGCACCTGAGCGGCACCCGCAATCATGCCTCGCCGCCTTTACGTCTGTGCTCGCTCTGCTGTTGTGTTGGTGTGTGTCGGGCTGTGAGCTGCAAAGCTACAGCCGGCTGTATGCGTACAGCAACCGTGTGTGAAAAGCGGTCGATAAAGAGATGCTGAAAAGCGTGCTCATGGAAACATCGTCGGGTCTGCCGTGATATGTTTACAATAAGATTCATGGTCCCGAACCTCTGCGCACAGCAAAGTCACTTTCATCTTTACGCAGGACTGTAAGCTGTCATCTGTGAGGCATGAGCAGTGTTTGTTTTTAACATAGTTCACGGTGGAGCTGCTGACATAATGTGGATCCGAAGGTCCATAACTGGCCTACCTGGGGTTGAAAGTCTCGGTAAATTCACAGCGTTTCAGCGGGTATATCGGCTTCCGCGAGTGTGACGCTTATTTTGAGCAATGAAAAAATAATAAAATATAATTATTTATTTTTATATTTCAATATCACAATAATCTTCCAATTTAGAACTACAAGTTAAAAAAGAACTAACATAAATAAAATACACTTCAGCTAAATACTTTAATTTATTTTCCCAAACCACGCGGAGCCGCACTATAAGGACTAAAGAGCCGCATGCGGCTCCGGAGCCACAGGTTGCCGACCCCTGGGTTAGGGAATGGGTGCTGACTGTCACCTGTGCTTATGCGCTAAATGACAGTTCAGAGTACCCAGCCTTCTTGGAGTACCTAGGCAGGGTGCTTGAGGGTGCTTAATCTGGGGATTCATACGGGGAGACTTCACCGCTCATCTGGGCAATGATAGTGAGACCTGGAGAGGCGTGATTACGAGGAATGGCCTGCCAGATCTGAACCTGAGCAGAGTTTTGTTATTGGACTTCTGTGGACCACAGTTTGTCCATAACGGACACCATGTCCGAACATAAGGGTGTCCATAAGTGCACATGGCACCAGGGTGGTTGGTACCTGTCATGATAGAAACCCCCGAACCAAATGGTGGACACCAGAGGTGAAGGGAGCCACCAGAAGGAGTCCTATCGGGCTTGGTTAGCCTATGGGATATCAGAAGCAGCTGAAAGGTGCTGACAGGCCAATCGGAATGCAGCTCGGGCAGTGGCTGAAGCAAAAAGTTGGGTGTAGGAGAAGTTTGAAGAGGCCATAGAAATAACCTTTTGACTACCTCGAAGAGATTCTGACAAACTCTCAGGTGACTCAGGAGGGAAAAGCAGTGCTCCACTCGCACTGTGTATAGTGCGGGTGGAGAACTGCTAGTTTCGACTGAGAACATTGTCGGGCAGTAGAAGGAATATTTCAGTGGAGGGAGCAGAGTCTGGGGAATAGAGGATTATGGATCAGATTTGATAGACTCATCTATCAAACCCACATAGCAGACAGGTCTGGCCTGGATCTGGTGTCAAGCTGGCACTGCTGGCTGACTTCTGGCATGGTAAGTGGTATGTCATCCAGATATGGACCATGCCTGGCAAGATGGCACTGTTTATGTGATGGCATTCCACATCTGGCCCGATTGTGGTTTGGGTTATGTGGCCCAGGCTCATAGAAAACAGGTCTGGCCCGGATTCGTCATCAAGCTGGAACTTCTGACTGACTGATATCATGGCAGGGTGTCTGTCAACCGAATGTGGGCCAGGTCTGACAATGATGGCACTATTTATGTTCCTATTTTCCTATTTTAGTCAGAAGACCCAAATGCCATGTTGCAATACTATACTGCTATGATAACTAAGGTTTCAAATGCAGGTTTAACAGGTTTGTGAGTGTACACTTTATCCAAACCTAGTGAGGGTTTACTCATGTTTACCACTCAGTGGCTGTAGCTCAGGAGGTAGAGCAGGTCACCTACTGATCGGAAGGTTAGCGTTTCCATCCCTGGCTCCTCCAGTCTGCATGTCTGTTACGGCCCTAGCAGGGCCTCCTCCTGAAGGTGCCTGTGTGGGCGTGTCCCACCACCTCTTCTGCCTGAGGTGCCACCTTTCCCTTTTACACAGCTGACTCACATCAGTAATTAAAAGTATTTAAGCCCAGGGAAAGGTGAGCTCTGGGCCAGAGTGCCATTAGTGTGTTTGCAGCTAGTGAGCGGTGTGGTTGCAGCTAGCAAACTGTGCGTTTGGTGTATTTGCAGTTAGTGAGCTGCTCTCTCTTTTGTGCTTCACTCCATACTGGACATCTCAAACTTCGTCGTCATCGTTTCCTCGTCAGAGTCCAGCAGGGGCGGCAGGGCGACATCTGCCATAGATGACGGGATGTTCTCCTCAACCCACTTCAGGTCCTCATCCACTTTGTTAGCTTTGGCTGAGCCGTTGGCCTCATTCTTCATGCCCCTCATCTTCATCCCCACAAAAGCCTCGTTCATCATGGGCTCCTTCTCCTCTTCATCGCTCTCTTCATCCACCAGAGGACTGAAGGCGTACCTCTGGTTATTGGCTGACGGTTGCCATAGAAACATAATGACCAATAGGATGATGGAGAACAAGAAACGCCAGAAAGCGTCATCTATCCACAGCTCCCTCCAGTCAGACTGACATTTGGACATCCTGAAGGTCTTCGTGGTCCAGATGATGAAGATGACCGACGCTATGACAGCAAAGATGAGCGTGTTGGTGAAGTGTCTGTAGAGCGAGAGCTTCACCACGTTCCTCCTGAGGCGCAGCAGCTTCATCGCCCGAGTCAGGCTCACAAAGATCCACCAGACAACACAGGAATCAGTGAAGACCAGCACTATGTCACACAAAACTGTACTGCTGGTGTCCCCTCGATCAGCGTTGACTCCTAAGATTCCCTCGATGATGGAGAAGATCAGGTAGAGCATACCAACGCCAACGACTCTGTGCAGCAGAGCGCCGAGTCTCGGCTTGACGATGCCGTATCCCAGACTGGCGATGATCACCAGCACTCTGGCCAGAGTTCTCTTCACTGCAGAGAGAACCTCAGCAAACACCACCGCCCCGGTGACTGACACGCCTTCATATCTGAGGCTCTGGAACTCGGCATAGTAAACGGCTTTCTCCAACATGCCCAGGAAGATGACGCCTCCGATCCAGAACTGAATCCGGAGCAGGTCCCTCCAGTAACACGTGGACAGAACCAACCAGAGCACGGCGAGCAGCACGTACACGATGCACATCACCATGTAGAACATCATCAGAGGCCATTCGCACGCTGATATAAAGCCATGTGGACCCTTCATACTGATCTGGAGCTTCAGATTCCATTGATTTTTGGGACCAGACTGCTGGCTCTTGTCTTCGACTTTGAGGATGAACATGTAGGGTCCGTCATCCCAGCTCTGAGCCACCGCATCAAAACCAGGATTCCCAGCCTGTTTTTGATCTTTGACGGTTTCGTTCGTCTTTGCTGACTGTGGCTTTGGAGCGTCTCTCTTTCGTTTCCCTGAAGCATTTCCTGTGCTTGGCTGTGCCTGCTGCAGTGGTTTCAGCGGATGTATCGGCTCTGATTGATTCAGGTTGAACTTGGGATTCTGATGGTCACAGTGGATTGTATCATAGTTGAATGTGTATGAATGTAGTTAGAAAGCACTCAATTTAGAAAAAGTGTCTGATTGGGTGAATGTGGCATGTTGTATAGAGCACTTTGAGTAATCCGGGAGAGTAGAGAAGCGCTATATAAGAATCAGTCCATTCACTGTCTGAATAGTTTCATCATGTTACTTTTGCACTATTATGTTCCGGTACATGTTGTTATTACATGGCTTGATTAAGGTACACATTAGGCTGACATCTGGGCCAGAGCTGAAACTGAAACAGGGCCAGCAGTGTGTCTGCAACTGGCCCTTGGCTGTGCACAACTTAGACATGACCCACATACGTAAGAATGAAGGCCCTTTGGTGGCCCTGATCTGGGCCATCAAAGGGCCGTCATTCTTACGTATGTGGGCCATATGTAAGCACATTGTGTGGGCCAGATCCGGGCCATACCAATTTTGCTATGTGGGAAGGGGATGAGAGGCTTCTCGGCTTAGGCTGCTGCCCCTGCGACCCAGCCCCAGGTAAGCAGAAGAAGAAGAAACTAGATGGAGGGATCGATGGATGGATGGGTTTCAAAGTGATTTTGTTTGTGAGGGAGAGATGTGTTTCGAGTCATATCGAAATGTTATGAATTCTGAACTAAATCTGTTGTTTTAATCCTTCATGTTAAAAAAAGAGACAAGGGGGCTCATTAAAATATGAATTTGATACTTTTGGATGCCAGTAGCTTAAAGTAGAGCATGTCTTTAAAAGGTCTAAAGGAAGCATAAATTTAATTCAAGTCTTGAGTTAAAACAGGAAAGTAGCTGCACACTAACCCTTCACAGTGTCTATCTAGGATTTTACATGTTTTGTCAGATCTAGATCTTTTTCACTTACACCAAATGATGAAAACATTTGTTCACAGAGAGAGGAAGAGGAGTGGTGTTTGTGAGGAGGAGCAGCCGTCCTGCTGTGCTTTGTGTCAGGACGTCCTGAAGGATCCAGTCTCTACCAGCTGTGGACACTGGTTCTGCAGACAGTGCATCTCCTCATACTGGGACCAGTCTGCTTCATCAGGAGACTCCTCCTGTCCCAAGTGTGGTAAAAGATCCAGAACCAAAGCTGGACTGCAGGAGGCTTTAGATGAACATAAGATCAGTCTGAGGAGGAGATGTGAACGTGTGACTGAAGGAAGTGATGAAACAGGAAGTAGAACCCTCCTCAACAGGATCTACACTGAGCTCTACATCACAGAGGGACAGAGTGAAGAGGTTCATACCCAACATGAGGTGAGGCAGCTGGAGACAGCTTCCAAGATGGACGCCCTCCATGACACTCCAATCAGGTGCCAGGACATCTTTAAAGCCTTACCTGACCAACAGAGACCCATCAGAGTGGTTCTGACCAACGGCGTGGCTGGTGTTGGAAAAACCTTCTCAGTGCAGAAGTTCACTCTGGACTGGGCAGAGGGCTTGGAGAACCAACATGTCAGTGTGGTGGTTCTGCTTTCATTCAGGGAGCTGAACCTGATCAGAGATGAGCAGTACAGTCTTCTGGAGCTGCTCCATGTTTTCCATCCAACATTACAGAAGGTCACAGCAGAGAAGCTGGCTGTCTCTCAGCTTTTGTTCATCTTTGACGGCCTGGATGAAAGCAGACTTTCATTGGATTTCACCAACAGGAAGCTGCTGTCTGATGTCACACAGAAGTCATCAGTCAGCCAGCTGCTGACAAACCTCATCCAGGGGAATCTGCTTCCCTCGGCTCTCGTCTGGATAACTTCCCGACCCGCAGCAGCCAATCAGATCCCTCCTACATGTGTTGACAGGCTAACAGAAGTACGAGGCTTCACTGACGCCCAGAAGGAGGAGTACTTCAGGAGGAGATTCAGTGATGAAGAGCTGTCCAGCAGAATCATCTCCCACATGAAGACATCCAGGAGCCTCCACATCATGTGTAGTATCCCAGTCTTCTGCTGGATCACTGCTACAGTTCTGGAGCACATGTTGACTACAGAGCAGAGAGGAGAGCTGCCCAAGACCCTGACTGACATGTACTCACACTTCCTGCTGGTTCAGACAAAGAGGAAGAAGAACAAGTACCATGAGGGACTGAGACGAGTCCACAGGAGCTGACGGAGGCTGACAGGGAAGTTCTTCTGAAGCTGGGGAGGCTGGCGTTTGAACATCTGGAGAAAGGAAACATCATGTTCTACCAAGAAGACCTGGAGCAGTGTGGTCTGGATGTGACAGAGGCCTCGGTGTACTCAGGAGTTTGTACAGAGATCTTCAAAAGAGAGTGTGTGATCTTCCAGAAACCAGTCTACTGCTTTGTTCATCTGAGCATTCAGGAGTTTCTGGCTGCAGTCTACATGTTCCACTGTCACACCAACAGGAAGACAGAGGTGTTGGAAGCCTTCCTTGGAGAAAAGTACAGTGGGTCATCTCTGGATGATTTCCTTAAACAAGCCATGGAAAAATCCCTCCAGAGTAAAAATGGCCACCTGGACCTGTTTGTCCGCTTCCTTCATGGCCTCTGTCTGGAGTCCAACCAGAGACTCTTAGTAGGTCTGCTGGGTCAGACAGAGATCAGTCCAGGAACCATCCAGAGAGTCATCAACAACCTGAAGAAGATGAACAGTGATGAATTCTCTCCTGACAGAAGCATCAACATCTTCCACTGTCTGATGGAGATGAACGACCTCTCAGTACATCAGGAGATCCAAAAGTTCCTGAAGTCAGAGAACAGATCAGAGAGACTCTCTGAGATCCACTGCTCAGCTCTGGCCCACATATTGCAGATGTCAGAGGAGGTTCTGGATGAGTTGGACCTAAAGAAATACAACACATCATTGGAGGGACGATGTAGACTTATTCCGGTTGTGAGGAACTGCAGAAAAGCTCGGTGAGTCCAGATCTGATCATTAGCATTATTGATCAGTGCTAATTAATAGTTTAGTTGGTCTCAGGTTTCATGTTTCACCTCTCAGAGGGGAAGTCCAGATGCTTTTCTATCCAAGCTCCTTAGACAACTACAGATGAACTATGAAGTGAGCATTGAAAACTGCATTTCTCCGTAAATTTTCTGCAAAGTCAAAACTTATTGATACTTTAGTCTTTAATAATTTAATTTCAGGGCCTCTTTAGTACCAGGTTTTAGTACTCAATTCTACTCAGAAAAATAATTAGAAGTTTGCATCTCCAGCCTCTACCAAACCAAAAAAAAAAAATTACTGCTAGAGTTGCAGTGCTGAAAACAAACATATTCCAAGCCCGAGATGTGGATCTTTTACACGCCCTCTCCTTTAGAATCTTTGATCATCATCCACAAAGAGAACAAATGAGGGCCAATAGCACTGGCTAAAAGTGGATAAAAAAAGTTGGAACAATAACACCTGTCCATTGTTGGCCTGTAGCCCATGGCCAGGTCTGACTAGATTCAGTCTTGATCTTCCAGCAGCTACAGGTCGCAGTAAATTCCCCCAGTACTCTATCTGTAGGCTGATCAGCTCCAAGTCCACAACATTTCACCAATGCCAGGTTATGACTGTTATCATTGGCAGGCCAATCATTTGAAATAGTAAATCAGCTATAACCCATTGTTTCCAGGTGGCTAATTTTGAGGCATAGATAATAAAGCTAAATTTAAAAGGTATAAATCTCCTGATCCATCCACCTGTTCCAAATATGCACTCACTCCTCGTTTCAATTAAATGAACACTTTTGGTGTCACAGCAGCACAGCTGACTATGTGGTTTGCATCCATGAAACACTTGTTAGATTTTCTCTGCCAATGCCAAACAACTTACTCTCGTATTTACTTTTTCCGCTGTCATTTCCTGGATTGAATGTTTGAAGAAACAATTGGCCCATTTCTGGGAAATTTAAAGCTCATTAGCATGCAGAAGAACCAAACACAACCACAACAGCCTGGCTCCACCTTATCCTGGTCACCAATTTGGTCACATACTACTGTGGCATAGCATTTGTTACAAGTCAGCCAATGTGGTTGTATTGGTTACTGGCATGGACAGCACACCCAAGCTGATTCCACATGTGTGCAATGAGGTTAAGGTTAGGACTGCGGACAGGTCTTCCTCTCCACTCCCAAACGTAGTCGCTGATAAACCCCACTCTGTGCGTGCAAGTGTTGTCATCTGGAGGATAAGTCCAGGCCCAGACTGTGGAGATATGGGATTGCCACTGGTTACAGTATCTCAGTATCTCTCTGCATTGAGATTTCCTCCAATAATGCAAAGCCTTATTTTTCCAGTGAGTAAGATTCTGCCCCACACCATCACACAGCTGTTACCCGATTGGTGCAGCAGTCAGAATAGTTTCTCCGTAACCAAATCATTTAAATATGGTATACTTGGAGCAGACATCAACTGACCACCGTAGCAGGGTTCATGCTCACAGGCACCAATCAAGAACCTGATTAGCAGCACCTGGGCTACTAGAAGCTCAAAAGAAGAGTCAGTAACAGAATAAGCTGTTCGCACTGACATAGAAGATTTGGCAAGATTTTTTTTCATGGTTGCAACCGACATACTCAAATCTCCTGCTCAACCCACAAATGGATTTTCTTTCATTTCCTTAGAAATGGGCCACATTTAGGGGAAAATAATCAGGATTTTCATGGTATAAGATCTACTGCCAAGAAGCAGTTATAGCAAAGGAATATTCTACCAACACAAATTTCCTTTTCTTTTGTGCTAAGTTTATATCCCATATGTTACTTTTTCTTTAGTCGGACATTTGTAATAAAGTGCTATTTTGTATTTTATCAGAATTTTAGAGCTCAGTCGTCAAATTGTTCACACACCATCACAGATGAGATGTTTGCATATTATGATGTTACCCTCTTTTACCTTCATATACATTCAGTCTGTGTTTATAATGGAGAGTTTCTGCTTTTATACTAACATATTTCATATTTTCTCAAACTAAAGACTGAATTCTTGTGGTCTCTCAGAGACTCACTGTGAAGTTGTGGCCTCAGCTCTCAAGTCAAACCCCTTCCATCTGATAGAGCTTGACATGAGTTACAATGACCTGCCGTGTCTAGGAGTGAAGCTTCTGTGTGCTGGTCTGGAGAGTCCAAACTGTCGACTGGAGACTCTGAGGTGAGTTCATTGACTGCAGCTGTTGTTATTTTTCTATAGTTCAGATATTTGGTGGAAAGTTTGAAACTTATTTCTGTTCATATATGTTCAGGATGTGTCTGCTTTGGAAATTTTTCCTTACCAAAAGTAACTACGACCTGCAGAATCCAAAAGACCAAACAACTGTTCTGTTTTTTTCTTTTGGCTCATTGTCAGGCTGTAGCAGGATTCATTTAATTACTGAGAATCTTTAAAATCAGGTTTCTAAATCATCCTCACACACATCTTGAACCTCAGACTAAGGTACGGATTAGGATTGAGCCTGTAGTATAGATAGCTTTAGTAAATGCTATTGTGTGGAAAAATATGTGATGATAATGTTACAGATACTTGAAAGAATAACATCGCTAATTAGATTTTAATTTACATGATTTATTCTTTCAAATTTACTCAAAGTGAAACACATTCAGATAACTGTAATATTTATTATTTTAGTGCTCTGCACTGACAAAGAGGAAGTCATATATTGCAGTTGCTTGAGGTGTGGTTAGTGTCTGACCTGCATGGTGTTTGAGAAAATCACATTGATGAGAACATATCTTAATAGCTAATCAATGACTTACTAGTGTGTGTGTGTGTGTGTGTGTGTGTGTGTGTGTGTGTGTGTGTGTTTTTCTCTTCACTCAGACTGAAGGACTGCTGGTTGTCAGAGATCAGCTGTGCAACTCTGCTGTCAGCTCTGATGTCCAACCCCTCCCATCTGAAGCATCTGGACCTGAGTGACAATATCAGCCTGCAGGATTCAGGAGTGAAGCTGCTGTGTGGTTTTCTGGAGAGTCCACATTGTCAACTGGAAACTCTGAGGTCAGACACCAAATTTTAGTTGGGTGCTAAGATGCATATGATTTGGAAGTTGTAGTGACACTAAACTGCAGATATAAAACAATGATCGGTATACAATGAAAGTATGTCTCATGCGTGCTTTGAAAAAGACAAGCATCATTGTCAATTCAGTTCTGGATTTAACAGGAAACCAATGAAGGGAAGCCAATACAGGAGAAATCTGCTCTCTCTTTCTAGTCCCTGTCAGGACTCTTGCTGAAGCATTTTGGATTAACTGAAGGCTTTTCAGGGAGTTTTTAGGACTTCCTGATAATAATGAATTACAGTCGTCCAGCCTGGAAGTAATAAATGCATGAACTAGTTTTTCAGCGTCACTCTGAGACAGGATATTTCTAATTTTAGAGATGTTGCACAAATGGAAGAAAGCAGTCTTACATATTTGTTTAATATGTGCGTTGAAGGACATGTCCTGGTCAAAAATGACTCCAAGGTTCCTCACAGTGTTACTGGAGGCCAAGGTAATGCCATCCAGAGTAAGAATCTGCTTAGAGACCATATTTCTAAGATTTTCAGGGCCGAGTACAATAACCTCAGTTTGTTCTGAATTAAGAAGCAGAAAGTTAGCAGCCATCCAGGTCTTTATGTCTTTAAGACATTCATGCAGTTTAACTAATAGGGGTGTGTTATCTGCCTTCATGGACAGAGTTGGGTGTCATCAGCATAGCAGTGAAAATGTATGCTATGTACAGTACCTGGTACAAGTGATTCCAAAAACTCTGTACAGTTGTGATTACTGGTTGAACCTCTATCTATCTGTTTAACTTTTCATTAATATTGAGTCAGGTTAAACTTTATTAATCCCAAACTGTCAAAAAATCCTGTGTTCCTTAAATTTAAGATAAAAACAAGCTCATTCGAATACCTCTATAAAGTTCATACTCCAATTATTGGTCACCTCAGAGAGATGAGGTCATGTGGTCAGGTTTGTTTGGAGTCTGCCCTTCTTCCTGTTTGTGTCTAAAGTTTGATTCAATCTTAATGTTAACAGAAGGTTTGATGATGATTCATGATAATAAGTCTGTTGATTTAAAAAAAAATAACCTCACTGATGAGGACATCAAAAAATGAAACTTAAACTTAAATATCTACATCTTTTTTTCTTCATTCAGAATGACAAATTGCAGATTGTCAGAGGTCAGCTGTGATTACCTGAACTCAGCTCTGAAGTCCAACCCCTCCCATCTGAGAGAACTGGACCTGAGCAGCAACTACGACCTGCAGGATTCAGGACTGAAGCAGTTGTGTGTTTTTTTGGAGAGTTCACACTGTATACTGGAGACTTTAAGGTCAGCACCATGTTTTAGTTGTGCTGAGATAAACATGTGAAGAAGAAGAAGTCCAAATTAAGTTTGTTTCAAAGCTGAATATCTGAGCTTCAATGAGGTTTAAATTTCAGTGTGTTTATGAGTCTTTAACATAATTTAATGGATTCTCATAAATTTAGTATTTGTAATTCAAATAATTCTTGCAAAGAATTACTGCAATCTAAGAATGGCCAGAAACTGCAGGTTTCTTTCTGCATCTTATTTCTAACATTAATTCAAATCTTCATCATCTCACTTTCACTTGACACTATACACAGTACAGTTGTGCGTCATTTAATTTAATACAGTGGTACTGTGTCATGTTTAAACGCCAATCAGAGCCAAGGATCAGACACTGACAGCCGCTGACAGGTTCAACAGGTTTCTTGAACAGCTAGACAGTCCTCTGCTTGTTCTCCATGCGCCAATTCTTATCTACCAATCTGAGAAACACGTTAAGCTCACCTTTGCCCCTAAAGCTTCACATGTCAAACACAGTAAGAGAAGCTGAAACACAGATGTGAGGAGCAGATGTTCATCAGATTATGACGTCACTCTGTTTTATCTTCATATACACTCAACAAAAATATAAACGCAACACCTTTGTTACTGCTCCCATTCCCCATGGGATGGACGTAGAGACCTAAAATTCATTCCAGATACACAATATAACCATCCCTCCCAAACAGTGGTCACAAATCAGTCCAAATGTGTGGTAGTGGGCACATCTGCTATATTGAG